TGTACATATACATAAAATTTAATGTATTTTTCATGAAAATTTATGAAATTTAATGTACTTTTCATAAAATTTTATTAAAAGTACATTAAATTTCATAAAGGACCCCGAACTATCCTTATCGGAAATGGGGTTCCGCGGATTTGGCTATAACTTTGCCAATTTGTTATTTAAGCCATACTGATAAAAAGTTATCAAGGTCACAACTTAATCCTATGAGCCATTTTCAATGTAGAGTCGCTCGAATATCTGTAATAGTATGTATCTGTAATAGTACGATGTTCTATATGCATATCATTCTTCTACTCTTAGCGTTTCTCAGGATTAACGTTGGAGACCTATCTGGAATCTGAACCTTTTTAGTAAGTGGATATATACAGGGTGTCTAAAAATTAATGGTTAAACACTCGTGTGCAGACAGAACGATCCAGACTGAAACGAAAAGTCATGTACCATTTTGCGTGTAACGGAATGCTTTTGTACAGAAGATTTCGAAGAAAAGCCAATCGCTCAGATATACCAACGTCCTCGATTATCTGCAATAAATTGGGGACGAGGAATGTGCGCTGATTATAAGCACATGACAATGAAAATATACGAACTGACCAATATATACGAGATTAATAGAATAATTCGGCGATTGTAGTTTTAACAAGACGCGAGCCACACGCAATCGTAGCGGAGGAAATAACGCGTTGATCCTATTTGAACCAACGACATATAGACGGAGCATGAGCTGCTATTTAGGGCAAGGGAGGGTGTGATAATCGGGGCAAGACGGGAACCATTCCACCATAGCCTCTCTCTATTGACATCGGCTTATTTTTTGCCGAGACTCGTTAACATTCGGCTACTTCGCCTCTTACGTATCAATGGGTCTCATCTCATATCAGTACTATATGATAGTCACGTAGGTAGTCATGTGAGAGCCGAACATATTCGAGTCACGACAAAACTAGTCGAAGTCAGTAGACATCCTCTTGCCGCGATTATCACCTACCCCTTGTAGAAAGGCTCCGTCTATATGTCGTTGATTTGAACAAGTCCACGACGTTAATCCTGAAAAACGCTAAGAATAGAAAAATGACATCCCAGGTAACAAGGTGACGTAAAGTAACATCTTAATGACATGTTATTAATGCTAAAGATGTTATTAAGACGTCATTTGATATCATCTTGCTACCTAGGATGCATATAGAAAATCATACTATTACAGACATTCGAGCGACTCTACATTGAAAATGACTCATAGGATTAAGTTGTGACCTTGATAACTTTTCATCAGTATGGCTTAAATAACAAATTGGCAAAGTTATAGCCAAATCCGCGGAACCCCATTTCCGATAAGGATAGTGCGGGGTCCTTTAATGTACACGTTCATTACATTTAAGTAACTACTGTAACTTAATTTTTAGTTAAATCATTCATTACTTTTAATTTCATTCATAACCACAAGCTTCATTTACATGTAAAGGAAACTCGTAGTTACATTTCTAATAGTGTACTGTATAATAATTATAATCTTTCATATAAGAGGTACATAAGTAAGCGAATATCGATATAGGAATGTGGCTCATGTCAGTGGAAAAGTGACAGCCTCGTAGAGCAGACTTGGAGACCAGGCCTCGGTTCGAATCTCGACAGGAGCTGATTTTCTCGTGCTATCGGTTATGCCTTACGACGAGTAATTTCGAGTGGTGAAAACGTGCAATGTGAGTGACGAGTGCTAAATGAAAAATTTTGCACTGGTATAAATTTTTTCACTCAAATTTACGTTTTTACCACTCAAAAATACTCGTAATGTATACGTTTTTACCTCTCACAATCAGATATACTCGTGTTCTGCATGAGTGCAATCCGTCTTAACCACTCATTTTTACGGAAAAGTTCCTGTTTGCGACCTAAAAACGGAGTCATACTCACTGAGTAAAATGCACGTTTTCACCACTCAAATTAACCGTTCGCGCGGGCTAAAATCGGTGAAAAATTTTTCTAAGGGTTTGTTTGCGTACCATAGTAAAAATTAACTGTTTTCATGTTAGAATATGGCTTAAGCACTGGTTTAACAAAATAATTACTTTATTTATGTGATAAAAATTAGTATTACCATAGTAAAAGTTATATCGGAATCATGTTATGACGGTCTATCGGAAATACTAGACATAGTAAAGTGTAATTTAAAATTGTATTAAAACTTAATATAAAATTTTCTCCGTGTAGCGATTGACCTATATGCAATAAATTGAAAAACATAACAGAACAAAAAAGCATCATGAAGTTAAGAGGATCCTAAAGATCTATATTTTTACCGACTAAACACGTATAATTTTTATATAACGAATACTCTTTTTCTCTTTCACGGATTGGAAAATCCTTTTCCAGGATTAAAGTATACGCATTAATACGTGTTTGTGAAGTGGAGTCTACGCTGAGAATGATAAAAAATTTCGAAATCGATATATTTTTTACCATTTCTTAGTGTAACATGGCGTCTCAGCAGTCAAGTCATGACAACATTTGCTTGATACGAAAGCTTTGCAACCCGAACGTATGAAATAATAGTTCCCAAACACGTAATTTGCACGAACATACAACGTCGAGTTCTTAGAATTAGATTTAGACGCTTTATCGCGACGAATTCGTTGTACGAAAATTGACACGTATGTGTGACTGCGTTTATCATAGGCTGCGTGAGATATTGCTGTGGTAGTATAAAAAGACACGTCGATGTGCGGCGCGCGGCGCGACATCTAGTGATTTTTCGGAGTTCGAGTGACGGTCAAACTTA